TGGGGTTTAAGGTATTTCCCCCCTGGGATGAGTTTGGGGCTAGTTTTAAGGTTTTTTTTTTCCCTCTGGGGTGGTTTTAAGGCGTTTTCCCCCCTGGAATGGGCTTGGGATGGGTTTTAAGGTGGTTTTTCCCCCTGGAATCAGTTTGGGGCAGGGTTTTAAGGTATTTTTCCCCCCTGAGCTGAGTTTGAGGCAGGGATTTAAGGTATTTTTTCCCCCTGGGATGAATTTTGGGCTAGTGTTAAGGAATATTTCCCCCCGGGATGAGTTTGGGGTGGGATTTTAAGGCATTTTCCCCCCTGGAATGGGCTTGGGCTGGGTTTTAAGATGTTTTCCCCCCTGGATGAGTTTGAGGCAGGGTTTTAAGGAATTTTTCCCCCCTGGGATGGGCTTGGGATGGATTTTAAGGAATTTTTCCCTCCTGGGATGAGTTTGGGGTGGGATTTTAAGGCATTTTCCCCCCTGGAATGGGCTTGGGCTGGGTTTTAAGATGTTTTCCCCCCCGGGATGAGTTTGAGGCAGGGATTTAAGGAATTTTTCCCCCCCGGGATGAGTTTTGGGACTGATTTTAAGACGTTTTTCCCCCTTTTTCCGGCGCAGAAGTACAACAACGACTGGTGGATCGGGCGGCTGGTGAAGGAGGGCTGCGAGGTGGGCTTCATCCCCAGCCCCGTCAAGCTGGAGCAGATGCGGCTGCTGCAGGAGCAGAGGATGAGGCAGAACCGCCTGAGCTCCAGGTGAGGCTCAGCCCTTCCTCCTCCTCCTCCTCCTCCTCCTCCTCCTCCTCCTCCTCATCTGTCACGGTTTGACACCGGCGCCCCCGTGAAAACTCAATTTCTCAATTAAACGCCGTGAGACGCGATGGAGAACAGAGCAAAGCACGCCCGAGGTTCATAACAGAAAAAAAAAAATTATTAATCTATTATTATAAAAGAAAAAAAGGGGGGGAAAAAATCTAGATATAAAGATTAAAATGAATATTTTACAAAGCGTTCTTTGTCCCACCGCTCAACTCCAACAAACCACAGGAGACACAATCCGGGCCCCAATCAGGTTCCCCCCCCCAGACCATCGAGATTTCGTTTATTGGGGGACACAGAGTCTCTCCTGTCCCCCAAAACCACAGCTGGAACACCCTGGGCTTCCCTTCACACCTGGAAAAGTTTGCCCTGGTGACCCTTCTCCTGTCCCGAGGGGAAAATAAAATAAATAAAACAACAGGTTTGCATTTTTGGGACCACAGTCCCCCCCATTTTCCCCTGGGGTCCAAAAACAGAGATTTTCTTTTCTTTTCTTCTCTGAGTATGGGGGCACCACCACAAACCAAACTTTTCTCTGTTTGCTCCACTCCTGTTTTGTCCCAGCTGGAGCAGGTCTCTTGGCTCACCAGCATCCTCCTAAAATTCAGTTTTTCCTGGAGGAGAAAATTAATTTCAGTTTGTGTGTCATGGTTTGACACAGGCACGATGCCGGCACCCCCACGAAAATTCAATTTCTCAATTGAACGCTGTGAAACGCGATGGAGAACAGAGCAAAGCAGGCCCGAGGTTCATAACAGAAAAAAAACTTTATTAAGCTATTACTATAAAAGAAAAAAAAGGGGGGAAAAAAACTAGATATAAAGATTAAAATGAAAATTTTACAAAGCGTACTTCCTCCCACCGCTCAACTCCAACAAACCACAGGAGACGCAATCTCCTCCAGGAAAAACTGAATTTTAGGAGGATGCTGGTGAGCCAAGAGACCTG